ATTCTGAATGTTATAAAAATGTTAATAGATATTCTTAATTTTTGCATTTTAAAAATGGCCTGTTGAAAATCAATAAACGTCATTGACCCATCTACCAATTCTACCAAATCAAATCTGATAAAAGTTGATAAAATCTGTCACTAAGAGGTGTAGTCTCTAAACCTGACACATCTTATTTTTCATGAGCTACTCCATTAATTTGGAGTTAGGGTTAGGAAACGGGTTTCTTTGTATTTCTTGATATCCTCAACTCTCGGAGCTACTAAACTCTACTGCACATAGATTTCTTTAATGAGTTTTCTTTTTGTGTTGGCGAATAAGCCAGGATGTTCTTGAAAAGCATATGGATGAAAAAGAGATGTTTACATACAGTATTCTTATTAGCATAATTTCCAAGCCGCACAAGGACACACTTAGAGCTGGTTCGAGTATTTATTTGTGTCTCACATTTTTTCCCTTAGGGCAATATTTAATGATTGTAATTGCTTTTTGCTCCCAATTAAAATATGAAAACACATAATGCTGTATTCCCCATTATTACATATTTTGTCAGCTGCTTGGTCTTACTACACATGGTTGGAGAGTTGTTTTCTTGCATATAAAAAATGCTTTTCTTTGTGGCAGAAATACTTTCAATTCCAGTTGACTTTATCAACCACACGGTGGCGTTGGAGCATCATGTAGCGTTTTGTGGATTGCTGAGTATCCCACATGACCTGCTGTTTAATAAGAAACAGTATTGACTGGTGAGTTTAAGATGATATTTAATGAGGATTTTGACATTTTGCACACTCTCAGTGTGTCTCTTGAGACTTAGAATGTATACTATTTTTTATAATTGTTGTATTCTGTAAGATAGTTAAAGCTTATCAACTGTTTGTGAAGATATAATTATTCTTTCACACACACACACACACACACACACACACACACACACACACACACACACACACACACACACACACACACACACACACACACACACACACCACACACACACACACACACACACACACACACCTGCTGAAATTCTAAGAAACCAAAAAAAAATGCCAGCATTGTTTGCTCGGAGCTAAAACCACAGGTCAAAAGCTCAGCCCCGAAGATCGATATACTTTCAACACCGCCACCGCCGCCCCCGCACGAAGCCACGAGAACAACACATCCCCAAAGCTGGAGTTTGGCCGGTCTTTTGTGAGATCAACCTGCAGCGTCTCTGAATCAGGGCCGAGGAAGGATGGCAAGAGAAGAGGCGATGATGTCCGTTCTGTATCGTTTTACAATGATGGCATTGCTAACGGGTGTCCAAGCAGATGGGTCGGTTCTACCAGAGTCTGAAAAAGTCTTCAGCAGGCCTCTGCGAATGGAACAAGAGATCAATGAGCAGCTCAACACATCAGCCCTAAACACAGCCTTGGCCTTTGAACCTTACCGTGACCTTGCCACCAGAGCCAACTCCACGCCCGGTGTCCAGATCCAGCACAACATCTTGTTCTCGCCCTTGGGCCTGGCATCTGCTCTGGCCCTGCTGTCCCAAGTGACTGGGTCCGAGAGTCGGAGCCAGGCCCTGGAGGCCTTGGGGCTGGCAGCCAACTCTACAGAGCAGAGCTTGGAAGCCACCATATCTGCTCTCACAGATCTGCAACACAGCCTCGCTCTCCAGGAGGGTGGGGGCGACAATGGGGTGCAAAGGGCAGAGTCCGCAGGCGAAACTGAAGTTGGGATTGGGGCCACACGAGAGGGGGACATCGGAGGGGCAGATGCTGGAGACAGAGCCGATGTAGATAATGTTTTAGAGGCGAGAAATGGAACTGAGGATGGGGTTCATCCTGGCGTTCAGTTAAGACTTTGGAACAGCCTACATGTTGATGGGAAACCTTTACTAGACTATGACAGCTTTTTGTCCAGGCCTCAGCAAACTGGACCCTCCGCCTTTAACATCAGCTTAGACACGTTGATGAAAGACTTGGAAGCCTCTGATAAACTTGAATTTAGCAATTATGTGTATTTCAAAGGTAGTATTTCAATACATTGAACAGGAATATCCCTAAAATGACTCGGACCAATTACTTGCCTCTATGAGTTCTTCACCAAAGTTTGTTTTTCAGATATTCCTTAACCGTGAACGAATAATCAAAAGCAGAGAAAAGTCTTTATGAATTGCGTAAAATGGGGACTGCGTTTAACAACAGCAATATAGTATACTATTAGTTTACAACTCTCACACAACTCATGCAGTATAATTCAAGTCACATTTATACAGTCGTACCCATACTACTGTCAAGCAATCGCGCTTTTATTTTACCATTACTTTTTAAAACACTTGGAGGAAACCCTACTTGAACGTACCATAGCGCACCTACGAAAGAGTGAGACTACTTGTTTAGGCGCGCAAATGTTATAATTTCCTAAGGTTTAATTGAAAATGCATGTGTTTGGGAAGTTTTGAGCATACAACTTGATAAATGAGGCTTGGATTATACTGCAAGACCTGTGTAGGAGTTTTAAGCAGCTGTCTGGATAAAGTTCTCCTGTTTCAAACGCGGCTCCCATTTACTTAAATTCATCACAACCTTTCTCCGATTTTGGATTCTTCTAACATGGAGTGTTTAATTGATATACAAATGGTAATTTGGGGGTTGACGTGTCCCCTAAATGTGTAAAGAAATCCAGACAGATGAATCATTTTCGAAATGAAAAACGTACACCTACAGAAACACATTCAGAGAAAAGATTAAATGAAATGAGTTGCAGCAAAATTAGAAAGCGTTCTCATTGTGTCATTGCAATACAACCCACTGCACAGAATTTTGAGCACCTGCTTCTTCATCAGTCATTGTTATTTATGTAGAGCAGATGCTCTCTTGTGACAGTTGGTGGTTGTAAATTTACACAGCTTTTTTTAATAGCAGTGCATTTTCTTTCTACGCTAATTCACTTTCATATGTTATCGTTAACTTGTTCCTTTTTATTAATGACACATAAATCAGGTCGTCTGCCATTTGAGAAGCTCCACACACTGCCACGAAGCTTCCAGCTGAACGCCACCAGCAGCGTGGAGGTCTCCATGATGTTCAGGGACGACTCTTCTGAGGTGATGATGCTGTACGACACCAACTGCTCGGCCACAGTGGTGCGGCTGGAGTATTCAGAGCGCCTGGCCTCGTTGCTGCTGCTCCCTAAAGCCGAGCTGCAGCCGCTGGAGGACTGCCTCTCCGACAGCCGCATGAGCTTCTGGCTCAGCAACCTGAAGCCGGGGTAGGTGGGGAGTCCTAATGTTGAAGAGGAATGTGGGGAAAACCATGGCAAGCTGTTTTTTTTATTCTTGTACGTGCATTGACATAAGTGTCAGCTGCTACAAGGATGATGCCATTTTGCAGTCTTATTTAATTTGCATCAAGCTCTTATCAAATTAAATTCAGTAAGAAATCATGGCCAAGAGGACCTCTAACATTGGGCCAGTGTTAGTAAAATGAAAAAGAACACACTGCTGTTTTTGTAACAAGAATAATTTCCTAAATTGGGATCAATAAAGTATACATCTATCATCTATCTATCTAAGAACTACAGTAGCTTGAGAAGGGAGGTCATTTAGAAGAAAAAACTAACGATTTACTAATTTTTTGTTGTTAATCTCTGTGGAAAAAAAGAAGGATATTCTCAGAGATTAAAGTGGTACACTTCCACAAAAAAATCCAAGAAGAAATACGGAATGTTCTTAAAATTAGGTTCTGAATCATGGCTAAATAAACATTTAATATTGTATGTGATTACTGTTAAATTTACAAGGAAAATAAAAACCTTATATATATATTCTCATCATGCAGTCATAAATTTGATAGAAGGAAATTCCAAAAGTCTCTGAGATGAATCATTCTTTTTACATTACCCCCCTCACCAACTTTATGGTAATCTCCTCATTTTTTCAATGGCCCTGATACACTGTTGTAGGTGGTGACATAAGTGTGAGATGTTATCCACTGACCCATTAACCGCACAAAGGTAGTATTTATTACAGGCTAGTTTTAGATGTGTTTATGCTAAGGGTTAATTGGTGCAGCATTGGATAAAATATGTTGAGTTTTAGTGTGTCCATGTACAGTATGCCCTCTGCAAATGGTGTTTGCCTGTCCTTGAGTGTGCATTATATTGATCCACGTCATGGTACGGTTCCCCTGTAGTAATTTGCTTTCTGTTGTTGGGTAGCATGATGAATGATGCTGAGGAGATTCTAAGTCAGCAATGATTACAGCTCTCCACACATCAGTGAGTAGAAGCCCGCAGTAAGGGTCCCACAAGTTGTAACAAGACATCTTAGAACAAATCCAATAAAACATTGAGTGTTTGTTTTCACAGACGGGCAGAAATCCTTTTCCCTAAGTTCCATCTAAGGAAATCCTACAATTTGGACAGCCTCCTGAGGAACTCTGGGGTATCATCTATTTTCTCGGACTCAGCCGATTTTGCAAGAATATCACGGAAGACGCTGAAACTCGTCAAAGTTAAGAGAGACCCAAAATATCCTATTTTCCTTTGTCAGAATGGATCATGAAACTAGGCCTAAGTGCTTGGTTGAGGTCTTATTACACATAAATAAGTGTACCAGACTTTACAGAACTACATCATTCGCTCATCCCTCTCTTTCTCTGGAATATGCACATTCATATCTGCTCTCTCATTACTCCTGTTTCTGTGCCATTACTCAGGCTCCTCATGAGGTTATGCTGGAGGTGGAAGAAACCGAATCAGATGACGGGGGGAGGCCTGACATACTGCTGGACTTCTCTGTCCCCCCGAGGATCACCTTTAACAGACCATTCATGCTCATAATCTATGACGATCTCACGGGGCTCATCCTGTTAATGGGGAGAATTATCGATCCAACAGAAGTCTAGACCATAGCAACACACTCTCCTTTTTGTGCTTTTCTATTGATATAATACTGCATTCACTTTTCATATTTTGTATTTTTTCCAATAGTTAATTGGACATAGTTTTCTGGGGAAATAAATGGATTTTCAATCATTTCCCTGAAGTTGCAGCTTTGTTTACTTCCAATTTGCCAAACATTACCTGATGATTTACAGTTTATTTCCCCATTTTCAAGAAATGATGAAAGAACATTCAAATGGCAGTCATTTATCTGTGTGACTAAATCTGTGCTTTTCTTGCAATAAAACACATAAAACACTTTTCTCCATCGCAGAAGCATTTTCTCTTTTGTCATTTTGTTCAACCCATTTCATCCTTTAACATCTCTTTATCACCCTTATGCAATTACAGGAAATTGCTTTGTAAGAATATCCAGGCTTATTCGCAAACACAGACAAAAATCATAAACAATAGCATTACACATTCACACTGCAGTAGGGTTTAGTAGCTTCGAGACATTCGTTATTTTTTACCTGAGCATCAGACAGCCTTGTAGAGATGATATTGAGTTCATTGAGAAAATGATGAATAGAGCATAGTTTGATGAATAGGACAAAAGATCTATCACAAGTAACATAAATGTCAGCCGATTCATCAAGAAGGGTCCAACGGACTCCTTGAAAAGTCCAGGTTTATGAGCAAATAGCAAGAGATTATGGGTCCCCAGAGGGGAAGTGCTTCACTTTTTTAGCAGCAAATAAAAAGGACTCTTACCCAAACCCTAACTCTGAAACAACCAGGCCTCAATAGACGAAAAAAGGGTCTAAATGAGAGAAGTCCAAAGCTGAGCTTTCTTTATTGTCAACTTTAGAGTAATATGGCCTTTCAGAGACATATTTAATCAACATTTGTCAGATTAGGTTTATCTTGCTACATATTATGGGAGTCGAATCAGTATTGAGGCAAAAAATCCCAGCCTGGTCTCCTAAAAACAATATTCCCGTAAAACTAAACTGCATTGTCATTCACTTTTTTATGGCAACATATGTTGTATCAGAAAACAAAATGCTGTTTGTGTCCTCTGTAAAAACATTTAAAGCCAGACCATGATGATTTACTAATACCAAACAAAGTAGTTATTTTGCATTTTTGTTACAATGTTCCAAAATAACCAGGTGTTTAATGCCACAACTGTAGAATGTAAGTAGAATACATGTTTCCCTCTAAATCAGGGGTGGGGAACCTTTTTCCTCTCAAGGGCCATTTAAATGTTTTCAACATCCTCCGAGGGCCGTACAAATTATTGACCTCTGCTTAAAGATACTAAAATCACAGCCCATTAATTTCTTCTTTCTTTCATGCTTTGCAAAGAAAAAGCAACCTCTTAATCCAGATATCTCACCATGACTCGTGCATGCATGCACGTGCACGGTTGTGGCATGACCACCAAAACAAGAAAGATATGGACACAAGATGTGTGCAAAAACTGTATTTAGTTTCCTATCCATGTGAACATGATTTAAGTGTGTGGGGGGGGACCTAACCTCCTCTAGGGAAAAAATAATAACCTTCCCTGGGGAGTATGCCCCCATTTTTTAAATGTTGAAGTCAAAAGTCATCAATCTGGTGCACTTTGAGAGCAACATGAAGAGATCTATGGATACATCTCTCAACATCCATATGAAACACAACTGTAAGCAGATTTATTTTTTCTTTATGGATATTTTACAAATCACTCCCCTTTCAAACTGTATTCTTGTTTATTAATAACAACTTTTTTTTATTGTCATATAGTATTTTATACCTGTTTACTTTATTCTCTTATTTTTCTATAACTATAATGATCATATAAAGATGTGCCTTTACCTCACTGGTTGGAGAAAAAGCTTCTTCTATTTGTTAGCATAGCTAGCTAACCAGATGCTAATAACAACAAAGTTAGTGACTGTAAGATCAGTATG